GATGACATGGTGGGGATGAAGTGGGCTATTGTCTGGATCACGCTTTGCATAGTGTCTGATGGCCAGGAAGGACTGTATACAAAGTAGTTACTATTATTAGCTATTATATTTCAACTGATGAAAGGTACAGAGAAACTCCCAGGAAGAGGGTCTCTTTAAAGAACACCCAGCAGTAATCCCATACATAGCCAACAAGATATGTGGACGTCAAAAGTAAGTGCTCCTATGCAACATACCCAGTAAATTAATGATTCTGCTTCCTTTTCAATCAAAGCAGTGGATCAGAATTTGAAAAGGAGTAAAGGTCAAGGCCATGAGGTCTAACTAACATGGTAGCATCAGTGCCTGGCCCATAGTAGGCCCCCAGTGTCTACTGGCTGAATGGATGGAGGCTAGTTGTTTAACTGTAACACCATACTCTCTGATGATAAGACCACAGTTAGCCAGAAGATAAAGTTTCTGCCTCCAATATTTTTGGGTCTTAGAAAGGAAAACAGTGTGCTAAAGCTGATAGGAAACTCAAAACAAGGACCTGCTAATGCTTCCCCCAACTGGACGGAGGCATTGCAACGGATTCCTGGGCAACAGATGGCAAAGAAAAATGTTTAAAAACAAAAGCAGGCACATAAGGTCATGAATTGGCCCAAAATAACCTGGGACACTGAGCAGACGGACGCAAGCAGCACACCTGATGGAAATGAGGCCAAGCTGATGAACTGAAATAGCCTCACCGGTGCCCTCCGTCCTGCTTTAGGAGGCCTCAGGATGGAAAAGAGGCATGCATTAGTATTATCAGGTTTAAGTTTCCTCACATCCTTAGTGGATTGCTTTCATTCCTAAGTCCCTAAAAAATTGGATACCACTCCACTTACCAGGAGCATGCTTTGGAATGCAGATCTGGAAGCTATTTTTTCCCTCCAGACATTTCATGACTTTGGTTTCTACAACAGCAGGCGATGGTGACACTGCCAAGTTTCAAGAGAAGGGCACCTTATCTGCAAAGTCACGAATCCAAGGATCCACATGGGCTCCCACTGGCAAGGGCGGAAGGAAGTTGTTTGTCTTAGCTTCTTGAAAGATCAGAAGAAGACTGGGAGGTTTGGGTATACAGGTACCTTGTTGTACCATGGTGCAACCCCCAGAGGAAAGACAGCTGGTAGCTTCTCAGAATCAGCAGTGGGTGGGGGTTGTGTAGCAGAGCGTCATAGTAAATGCCCATTTGGTTGCAATGAACAGAAACTCAAACCAGCTAAAGCAAAAAGGGGGCATCTATAGGGAAGAAAAGCCAGCTCCTGACATCCAAGCCTGACTCTTCAGCTTTGCTTAGCCACTGATTCTCTGACCTTCCTCATTTCCTCCCAGTAAACTCTCTTTCTGTTTAAGTTAGCCACGGGAGGTATCTGTTGTTTACAACCAAGGGATCTTGAGTGATACAAAGGGTCCTAGTGGAACCCAAGGGCAGGCATTGGAACTGGCCTTCACAAGGAAGGGAACTGGGAATCAGAAAGTCATTGGGAATCAAGGTAACTTTCTCCTGGGTCAGCTGGGAATGCATTCAGCTTCAAATAGCAGAAAACTCAATGTGAGTAGATTGTAAAAATTTGGAGCTCCTCCCGCACCGACTCTGGCTTTATCTGATAGGATATTAACAAACACAAGGCAAGTAGAGACTTGAAAAGTGCTTGTGTATTGGGGCTTGTTCTCACCTGCTGCTCTTGGGAACCTGTGGCCACCACATGTGAATGAGCCTAGTCCAGTCGGCTGAAGAATGAGTGGGCCTGCTGAGCAGAGACAAAGTGTGGCAGTGGAAGGCCTCTCTAGACCAGGTTTCTCAACCTCAGTGCTATTGACATTTTAGATCAAATAATTCTTTGTTGTGGGGAGTTCTTTTATCCATTGTAGAATGTTTAGCAGCACCTTTGGCCTCTACCTCTAGATGGGCACCTACCCTTCCTTTGTTGTGACAACTAAAATTATGTCCAAACATGGCCAAAGTTCTCTTGGGGGGAAAATTGCTCCTTGCTGAGAACTACTGCCCTAACCCAACTTGCCTGCCAAGGCCAGGTGTATGAGGCCAGGTATATGAAAGAGGCCATTCTAAACCATCCAGCCCCAGCCAAGACAGTCCAGACAGGACAAGTGTGCAACTTGATCCATGGAATCAAAAGAAATAATAAATATTTGTCATTTTAAGTCACTCAGTTTTGGGTGGTTTGTTCCACAGCACAAATATATAGATCTGACTACAGTGGCTTAAATAGATAGGGATTTATTTGTCTTATACAACAGGAAGTACAGAGGTAGGCAGTTCATTTATGGTTCAGAGCTCAGCGATGCCACTGGGTGCCCACCTGGGCCTTCTCGTCCCTCCACTCCACTATCCTTTGCCCTGCTGCTGGTGTCTGCTGATCCCCAAAGTGGCTGCTCCAGCTTCTGGTCTGACCTCCAGGAATGAGAAAGGAGACAAGACAAAGGTACCAAGGGTGAATGCCTTCTCCTAGAGAAGCTGGAAGGGAAGCCTTCCACAGGGCCTTTTCCTTATATGTCATGAGCTAGATTGGTCCAACATGGCCTGCCCTAGCTGCAAGGGAGGTGGGAAAATCATGGTGATTAGCTTTGAGCCTATATGGTAGAGGAAAGTGATGGCTGAGCAATGACTAGGTAGACTTAGTATCTGCTGAGTAGCTGCAGTATCTGCTGCACTGCCTCTTGGGGTTCTGTGGGGTTTTTTGTCTCTCCTTGTTGCATATCTATTCCAGCCTCCTTTTTTCTGAAGACTGGCTTTGTTTCCTTGAACACAAGTGGGGAAATGGCTGCTCTAGCCCTGGAACTGCATCAAGACTCTCAGCTCTATATTTGGGGATATGATACAGTCTAATATCAGGTTCTTTACTATATTAGGTTTTTGAACATTTCTGAGATTTTCTAGAATATTTATAAAGTCAAGTTACACTCCCATTTCTTACTGACTTTATTTATTTATTTTTGAGACAAGGTCTTGCTCTGTTGCCCAGGCTGGAATGCAGTGGGATCACTGGGCTCAAGTGATCCTCCCAGCACAGCCTCCCAAATAGCTGTGACTACTGGCACACACTACCACACCAGCTAATTTTTAAGTTTCTTGTAGAGACAGGGTCTCACTATGTTGTCCAGGCTGATCTGGAACTCCTAGGCTCAAGCAATCCTCCCACTTGAGCCTCTCAAAGTGTTAGGATTATGGGTGTGAGCCACCACGCCCGGCCTCTCACTGGCTTTAGATCCTAACCATGTGTAAGACATGCCTCCTATGGAATATCACACAAAGAGTTTGTCCTACTTCCCTCAGGTTTAATGGGTTTAAAAAATACATTTGGTTTTAAAATATTAAAAAACATTTTTATTGTGCCTTTTTAAAAATAAAAAAAAGTAGTCTGGGCGCGGTAGCTCACACTTGTAATCCCATCACTTTGGGAGGCTGAGGCGAGTGGATCACCTGAGGTCAGGAATTCAAGACCAGCCTGGCCAACATGGTGAAACCCCATCTCTACTGAAAATACAAAAAATGAACTGGATGTGGTGGCGGATGCCTGTAATCCCAGCTGCTCAGGAGGCTGAGGCTGGAGAATCACTTGAACCTGGGAGGCGGAGGTTGCAGTGCCATTGCACTCTAGCCTGGGTGACAAGAGCGAAACTCCGTCTCAAAAAAAAAAAAAAAAAAGTATTCATGACTTCTGGCTCTTCCATTTTTTTTTTTTTTTTTTGGCTATGTGGCCACACAAGAATGGTAGTGAGGGGATGGATGGATGGAGAGAAGGCAGAACTTGGAAGGAGCAGAGAGTGCAGCAAGGAAAATGGGGGTCTCTCCAAACATGGTGGAACAGGAGTGTGCGTACCTAGGCCGTGTGTGCTCTTTGGTGACTAGGAACTTGGTCTGTCCTTGTGGCCTGGGACTGTAACAACTAGGCCATCTGGTGTATCAGAATGGACAGTATGAGATGGAATTAGAAACCTGGGTTCAAGACCCAAATCTTGAGTTGACTAGCTGTGTGATTTTAGGCAGGCATGTAAGTTCTCAGGGCCTCAGTTTCCTCATCTGTCAAATGCAGAATGTAATACTATTTACCTCCCAGGGGCTGGGGGAGGATTCAATGAGATGGTTTTGAAAACTGTAGAGTGCTATATAGATGTTAGTCATGATTACAGAAGCAATAAAACTGATTTGTGTTCTAAATGTATTGTAATAAACTGAGATTTTTTTTTTTTTTTGGATGGAGTCTTTGCTCGTCCACTCAGGTTTAAGTGCAGTTGTGTGATCTTGGCTGACTGGCAGACCACCACCCTCCCGGTTGAAGTGATTCTCCTGTCTCAGCCTTCCCCAGTAGCTGGGATTACAGGTCTGGCAATTTTTTTTTTTTTTTAAAGACAGAGTCTCACCTGTTACCACAGGCTGGAGTGCAATGGCGTGGTCTCGGCTCACTGCAACCTCCGCCTCCCGGGTTCAATGATTCTCCGCGCCTCAGCCTCCTGAGTAGCTGGGACTACAGGCCTGTGCCCCCACCCAAGCTAATTTTGTATTTTTAGTAGAGACAGGGATTCACTATGTTTGCCAGGCTGGTCTGAAACTCCTGACTTTGTAATCTGCCTGCCTCGGGCCTCCCAAAGTGGCTGAGATTACAGGCCTGAGCCATCCTGCAGACCATAACTGAGATTTGATTCACTATCCCGAGGCCCTGGTAGTTCCAAGGCTACAATTTTTGCCCTGAGGCTCCAGTACAAGTCTTAGGGTTCTCTCCAGTGTGAGTGTGTGTTGGAACTCTTAGGAGGTTTGATATTTTGGAACATCATGACCAATGTGGAACCACATAATTCTATCTACCGAGTCCGTACATCTGGGGTCACACACTTCTATCTCTTTCATATACCTGAGTTTGTGTACATTCATAGGTATTTTTTTAAAGGAACGCTTCTCCCCACACACTATATAACACTGTTCAAAATACCAGTCTAGAAAGCGAAAACACTAGGGTAACAACCTTTAAAGTCCTACAAAAGCAACTCAGTATTTTGACACAGATGACACAGAAGAGTCACACGAACTCACACAGGATCACACCGGAGGCCTGGTGGGACGAGGTTTCTCTAGTACTTCCCGCTGGGCTTAGAATGCAAAAGGCTCTGGCTGGACTTTTCTGGAGGGCCTCTTTTCTCAGCATCTCTCTTTCTTGGTCCATCTTTAGGGAGGCTTTCCTGGTGCCAAACTCTTAACATGCAGGGAGAAAAAACACACAAACTCCATTGCAGCAAGACTCCAATTGTTCCACTCAAGTGGTTTTTGTTATTTTTATTTAATTTAATTAATTAATTTATTTTTTTGAGATGGAATCTCGCTTTGTCGCCAGGCTGGAGTGCAGTGGCGTGATCCGGCTCACTGCAAGCTCAGCCTCCTGGGTTCACGCCATTCTCCTGCCTCAGCTCCCGAGTAGCTGGGACTACAGGGCGCCGTCACCACGCCTGGCTTATTTTTTTGTATTTTTTTTTTTTATAGAGAAGAGGGTTTCACGTGTTAGCCAGCGGATGGTCTCGATATCCTGACGCCCGTGATCCCGCCACCTCGGCCTCCCAAAGTGGCTGGGATTACAGGCTTGAGCCACCATGCCTGGTCATGTTTATTTAATTATTTTTAACATGAGGAGGACTAGACACTTTGCATGTATTTATTGTATTGTACTTTATTTATTACTACTTCTTCTTCTTCTTCTTTTTTTTTTTTTTTTTTTGAGATAGAGTCTTGTTCTGTGGCCCAGGCATGAGTGCAGTGGCATGATCTCTGCTCACTGCAACCTCTACCTCCCGGATTCAAGTGATTCTCTGCCTCAGTTTCCAAAACAGCTGGGGGACTACACGGCACATGCCACCACGCCCAGGTAATTTTTGTATTTTTAGTAGACAGGGATTTGCATCATGTTGGTCAGGCTGGTCTCAAACTCCTGACTCAAGTGATCTGCTGCCTCAGCCTCCCAAACTGCTAGGATTACAGGATGAGTCACCACACCTGGCTGGTTTTGTTATTTTTTTGTACACAAAATAAAATGTTTGTTGTTAAAAAATATATATATATTACACAACACACACCACACACACACACATAGATATGAGCAAAAAAGAGATAAAACAATTTATTATCATCACATTACTCAAAGATGAGCCCTAGCCTTAGTAAGGTTTTGGGGTGCACCCTTCCAGGTATAAAGATATTGCTTTCCCTTTCTCTATTTTCTTTTTCTTTTCTTTTTTCTTGATATGGGGTCTTACTCTGTTGCCCAGGCTGGAGTGCTGTGGAGCAATCCCGGCTCACTGCAGCCTCGACCTCCTCAGGCTCAGGTGATCCTCCAACCTCAGCCTCCCGAGTAAGCTGGGACTATGGGTGTGCACTACTATGCCCAACTAATTATTTTATTTTATTTTTTGTAGAGACGAGGTTTTGCCATGTTGCTCAAGCTGCTCTTGAATTCCTCGGCTCAAGTGATCCGCCCTCCTTGGCCTCCCAGTGCTGGGATTACAGGCGTGAGCCACCAAGCCTGGTCCATTTATATGTTTTTTAGTTTGAAACCAGGAGCTTATTATGGTAAGCACATTCATTGTGATGGTGTTTCTCCTGAAAAACTGTTACTGAATTGAATGTGTCTAAAGTCTCTGATGGCTTAGAATTGGGTGTCCAATCTTTTGGCTTTCCTGGGCCACACTGGAAGAAGAATTGTGTTGGGCCACAGGTAAAATACACTAACACTAACAATAGCTGATGAGCTAAAGCAAAAAAAAAAAAAAAAAAAAAAAAAAAAATTATCCCCTAATGTTTTACGGATTAGTGTTGGGCTGCATTCAAAGCTGTCCCGGGCCGCAGGGTGGACAAGCTTGGCTTAGAAGGAGGAAATGAAGTCTATTTAAGGGGGTCTGTTTAACCTCTTGAGCACTTCCCAGCTCAAAGGAGGGGGCGTCCTGGCGGCCACGTGCATGACCCCACTCCCAGGCTGTATTTGTTGGACACTTGGCACAGCCGGGCTTTTCCGATGCCCACTCCTAGGAGTCGGGGTAATGGACTGTGAGATGCCACTCACTCCCTGGGCTGACCCTTTGAACTGAGGGACTATAAGGTTGTCCCTTCCTGTCACACGACTGGAGAGAGAAGAAATCAGCAGAGGTATGGAGAGGGGCAGAGAAATGCCCGACTGCGTGCATGTATGAGAGAGACAATGCCTGGGCTATCCTAGTTCTCTCCCATAGCTTTTATGAGGCATTCATTTCTGTATCTTTATAAAAGCCCTCCGCTCTGCCCCCTTTCTGAGTAGACTTTTGTTAACTGCAACCCAAGATCTCTCTCTCAAACAATTCTGGACACACTGTAGACACTACTGTGGCTTGCAAGTTTCTTGCCAACAGGATTTCCCTTGCCGACCCTGTCTCCTGCATAGCTTTGCCACCAGCCTTCAGGCTGCACATACACCTGGGGCAAGAGGGCTGGGTGGCCAGTCGCGTTTCAGCTCTGCCACTCGCTACGTGATCCTCAGTTTCCTCATCTGCCAAATAGGGATGAATATCCATCCTGCCTTCCTCAGAGGGCAGAGAGGAGATTCTGGGAGGATTTCAATGGAAGGGTCCGTTAGGACTACCGTTTAAGCTCTTTCCACCTTAAGATGGATTTAAAAATCACCTCCTGAGGCCCATGGCAGTGGCTGATGGGAGCCTCAAACGTGTTTTGAGACTCTGCATTCAAGATCGTTTCAGGGCAAGAAAGGGTAAGTCAGTCCCATACCAGCCCACAAAGTAAATATTTGTCTGAATGCCTAGGGAAAAAGAAAACAGACAGCAAACTCGAAAGCCTTCCCCCTTAAACAACCCTTACTTTATATTCCTTTTCATTTGATTTTCAATACAATTGCCTACTGTGGATGGTTTCCAAATGTCAGTGCCCTGAGCCGGTGTGGAGTTGGCTGTCAGAGTTGGAGCCGGGGAGTTTTTTGAAGAGTCTCAGGTCCCCGGTCCCCAACCCCAGGGCTGCCAGGAGCATGGGATGGGAAGCACCAGGGAAGGGGCTTTGGTTCTCTTCATGAAGTGACAAGGGATGGGGCAGCAGAAGGCAGCCAGGACGGCTGCCCTGGGAATGCGGAATGTGAAATGCAGATTCCATTTGAGATATTTGGAACCACGTGCTTCACCCTTAGAATGAAAAGGCAGGGGTAGAAGTCAGTCATTTAAATAGCAACACCCAGGTGTGAATGACCTCAGGCCATCCTAGGGTGGCTGCTTCAGGAAACTGCAAGCCTCAGCTCTAGGAACCCCCCTGGCCACTCCCACACAACCTCAGGAATGGGTTTAAATATTCGGTCCTCCGCCTGCACGGTGGCTCACGCCTGTAATCCCAGCACTTTCGGAGGCCGAGGTGGGCGGATCACGAGGTCAGGAGATCCAGACCACGGTGAAACGGCCCGATGGTGTGCACCTGTAGTCCCAGCTACTTGGGAGGGTGAGGCAGGAGAATGGTGTGAACCCGGGAGGCGGAGCTTGCAGTGAGCCGAGATGGCGCCACTGCACTCCAGCCCGGGCAACAGAGCGAGACTCTGTCTCAAAACAAACAAACAAACAAACATCCGGTCCTCAAGGAGGCCTCTCCTGGAGCTTGGACGGGGGGCGAAGGGGTCCCTGTGAAATATGCTCAGTTTCGTCCAGAGGCTTTTGTCCTCCAAACACCGGGCACAAAGTTATCAGCCCTTGCCCCCTGAGAATTCTTTCTTTATTTTTTTTGAGATGGAGTGTTGCTCTGTCCCCCAGGCTGGAGTGCAGTGGTGCGACCTCGGCTCACTGCAAGCTCCACCTCCACTGCAAGGTTCGCGCCAGAGTAGCTGGGACTATAGGCACCGCTTCCACGCCCGGCTAATTGTTTGTATTTTTAGTAGAGACAGGGTTTCACCTTATTAACCAGGATGGTCTCAATCTCCTGACCTCATGATCTGCCCTCCTAACCAGAGCAGCAGCCACCTTCTAGTAGTCTTAGGACAATGGTGTCAGTTAAGAAGAGGCTTCTATTTTCCAAAAATATCCCTTGCATAGAATATCTTCAGTTTTTCCAATGATAATTTTGTTGTCTCAGAATAACTGTGGCCTTTTATCAAACTTGTTAAATAAGTCTTTCTTATTCAACCAAAATGTATTTTGCTTTCAAGCTTCCTGAGAGCTTGCCTCTACTTTCTGCAAAGCAGGAGTGTGGATTGGATCAATTCCAGTTCCAGGGCTGATTTGTGAATGGCAATGATTCAACGTGTTTAAGATTTTATAGACTTGATTAAAAAAGAGTATTCAGCCGGGTGCGGTGGCTCACTCCTGTAATCCCAGCACTTCAGGAGGCTGAGGCAGGCGGATCACGATGTCAGAAGATCGAGACTATCCTGGCTAACACGGTGAAACCCTGTCTCTACTAAAAATATAAAAAAATTAGCCAGGTGTGGTAGCACGCGCCTGTAGTCCAAGCTACTTGGGAGGCTGGGGCAGGAGAATTGTTTGATCCTGGGAGGCAGAGGTTGCAGTGAGCTGAGATCTAGCCACTGCACTGCGGCCTGGACAACAGAGTGAGACTCCGTCTGAAACAAAACAAAACAAAACAAAAAACAGAATTCTAGAGGATGCTCTTTCTGCTCACCTGGGAATTTGAGTTCTGCATCCTGTTCTTCACCATCTTTACAAATACTCGTCTCTTTAATACAGAAATAATAGGAACAGAATTTAGCTTAGATTCCTCTTTGCCTTTTGCATCAAAGAAAAATGGATTTTTCTCCACTCTTAGATGCTACCCATTTGGAATGCTGGGCCTTCCCAGGGACAGCATTCCAGATGAGTAGCACATGAACATTGAGAAAAATCCATTTTCTCAACAAGAAGGGGGCACAGCTTTTGGGAACCACGGCGCCCCATCTTGCTGAGTCTCTTGGGGGTCTCTGTTCTAGATTTCAGCAGAGGTGGAGGCTGCTCAACCCAGGGCCTGTGAAGAACACTGCTCTTCGCGGAGGACACGTCTGTTTTAGCTGGAGGCAGCGCCTCCAGAGCAGGTGGAAGGGGCTGCAGATGCCCGGTGGTTCACACCTTGGCATCCCAATGGCTCAGGGATGGTGGGGCCCATGATGGTTGAACTCCCTTCAGGGGGGCCTGTTGAATGCCATCGTCACCCAGAATCTGAAGCTTGCTATTTCCCTGGGGTTTGATTTACAGTTGCTGATCCTGGGGTCCCCAAGATGTGGCACCTCAGGGACAGTTCCCTGAAGAAAGAGCAGCCCCGGATACTAGGGACCCCTCAGGGAGGGAGGGAGCTGGGCCCCCTCAGAGATCCCTTTCCCCGGGGGTCACCAACCTCATGCCCATAGGGGCCAGGAAGTCAAAGGCGGCGGCGAGATGGACATGGCAGCAAACCCAGGGGCCAGGGTCCTTTCTAAGGGGCTGGAAGCTGGTGGCGTGTGGGACTGTGGGCCTAGTGTCACCAGCAGATCCAAGTTTCCCAAAGAAGTCAGAAATCTGGAGTATTCTGTTAAAGTGCCATTTTTTTTGTTTTTTGTTTTGTTTTGTTTTGTTTTTTTGAGACAGAGTCTTGCTCTGTTGCCCAGGCTGGAGGGCAGTGGCGAGATCTCGGCTCACTGCAACCTTTGCTTCCCAGGTTCAAGTGATTCTCCAGCGGAATCAACATTGGTCACTAAAAGGGGGTGGTTTTCACATCTGTCCATGAAGATACAAGTGGGATGGACCTCGCAAGTGCTCAGTAAAAAGACCCTTGCTGCGACTTTCCCCTGGAGGGAGGTGGTGCCGACGTAAAAGCAGCATCTTGAAGAACAGCCTTCGTGGGGGTGACGTGGGCTGAGCCCACGCTCTATGAACAGCGCCTTGAGACAGATGTGTCATCACATCCCACATGGAATCCAGATTCCAAGTTCAAGTTAAAGCAGATTCTTAGCCAGATCTGTAACGGGCGGGGCTCTGCTCTCCAGTGCTCAGGCGTGTCCACTGAGCGGCACTTGTTGTGGGGTAAGAATCGGCTGCAATCCCTGTAATCCCAGAATGTTGACAGGCCCAGACAAGGGGATTGACTTAGCCCAGGAGTCGAGATAGCCCTGGCAACATTGGGGAAACCCTGGCTCTAGCAAAGCACAAAAAATTAGGCATGTGCGTACGACCACTGTAGTCCCCAGCCTACTCGGGGACGGCATGAGGTGGCGCAATCCTCTTTGGAGCCCCAGATTTAGACTCAGCATAGAGCCACTGTGAGCATACACGCATGAAGACCCTAGCCTGGAACAGAGCAAGTAAACCTGTCTCCAAAAACAAAAACCAAAAACAACAAACAAAACCTCTGGAAAAGAAGAAGATTATGAGAGAAGAGAGGTTTTTATAAACCATTGCATGGCAACTATCTGGAAATGATACTCTCTGCTGAATTGTGTCCCCTCACTAACTTTGTGATAAATATTGGAGTGTCTGCAGGCTGCAGGCCTTCTAGAGGTCCAAACTGTCCAACTAACTACAGGCCACGAGTCTCCAGCCGTTGCGTGGGAGAACAGTGGAGAACTTATGAGCACCATGTCCCTATTCCTAAAAGACCAAGCCTGACACGCTGTCGCTGTGGGTCTGGGGAATCGCCAACATGGGGTTGCAACAGAATTTAAAGGAAAAACAATAAAACCGATTACCCCAGTTGATATTTTGAATTCCGATTAATAACAAATAGGATTTTAGTGTTAATATGCTTCAAAATATTGCAT